CCGAAAATGCAAATAATTAATGAATAATAAAAATTTTGTTGTTGTGATTCACTACTGTTCAAGATACCTTTCTTTTAAAGTTTTTTTTTGGTTTTATTACTGATTTTAAAAATAAAATTTAAAATTTATTTTAGTGAATAATAACGGTTATATTTTAATGATTTTATGATTTTTAATTACGTCTATAAATATGTTAAGATTGATTTGAGATATAAATAAAATAAAAATAATTTAAAAAATAAGATGCAATAATATAATAATAAAATATTATGGAAAACAAGAGTAGGCAAGAATTTGCAATCTACTTTAGGTTATTATTATTATTATTCAGAATCGTTATAGTAAAATTAAGAACTGCAAAAACTAAAATTATACAAATTGCTTTCATGTTATTCTATCAAATATATGTACATATATACCTGTATTAAAATGCAACATGATGTACTTTTCCTGGCAGGAAACAATTTGTATTGCATAGGGAGTCACGTACCTGAAACCAAAATAAAACATAAATAAAAAAAAATAAGTAAAGCAGTTAAACTCATTAAATTTTGTGAAAATGATGGAATAAGAAAAACAATTTGTAAATTTTATTCTATTGACGTTGGGAAGAAGGGAGAGGGGAGAGAGTGTAAGGTAAGAGTACACGAAGTGTAACTGCAAAATGGGAAGCGTGCAATTTAGTCATCCGTACTGACATAATTTAAATCAAATGTGTAACTTTAAACCGAATTTAATGCTGGGATTAGTGTTGGAAAATGTAACGAGGCTAACAACAATAACAACAACTACAGCAAGAACAGCAATAACAGCTCTAGCGCATGAAAAGGGCAACAGCAGCACAGAGTTGTGTAGTATAAGTATGAATGTAAGCAGGAAGTGAGTAAGGAAAGAGAAACGTGTTAAACAAATGCTTTAAATGATTTATGGCAAACAGTCAACATCAGTCAAAAGTATCAGCAAACAGCAGTAGTAACAGTGGCAACAGAGGAAGCAGCAGCAGCAAGCAACCAACACAATTTTAACTAAAAAAAAAACTAAAAAAAAAAAATGGAGTAAAAAAATTTTAAATAGAAAGTATTCGTTTCTCGCTGAAAAAGTGTGTATAAAAATATATAAAGAAAAAAGGAGAAATAAAAATTTTATAAAGAAAAAAATCAAAAAAAAAAGGAAATACAAAAAATAAAAAAAAAAACAAAACATAAAGAGTAAAAAAACAAGAAATAAAAGAATTTTAGAATTAAATCCCAAACAGCCGAGGCAAAAGTCTTAAACATTAAATTCAATTTTGAGTTTTTCAACTCAAGACAACTCGACAACGCAGCATGATTGTTTATATTCAACAGCGGAACGTTGAAAAATTGAAACTGCGGCGATGTAGGGACGCTGCTGCTGTGGCACATATCACTGCTTGGCTGGCTTGCGTTTGCATTACACCAAATGTCCCTTGAGTTTAAAATCTTGTGGAAAACTTTGAAATTTTCTACTTAACTTTACATTGTTGTTCTTATTGCATTTGCCTTGGTTGTTGTTGCTATTGTTGTTGTTGTTGTTGATGTTTTTGGTGTAAAACGATGATGACTCCTACCCGTTTTTTTACATTTGCTGTTGCTGCTCTGCTCTGCTTTACCCTGCACTGCCTTACCATTATTGTTGTTAGCACAAAAAGTTTTATAAAAAATAAATCAATCAGAAAATTAAATTAAATTCATACTTAAAATTTATTTTTGCGCTTTTTGTTTTCTATTGTTTTGTAATTCTCTATTATATTGTTTTTGTTGTTCGTGCCATTGTTGTTGTTGTTGTTGTTGCTAAAACTGTTATAGCTGCTGGCAACATCGTTATGAGTTGGATCTCGCATTGTTGTTATTGCAGTTGTGGTTTTGCTTTTATTGCAGCAAATTGAAATTTTATTAAAAAACATTTTAAAATTATTTATTTTTAAAAGTTTTAAAATATTTTGTGCCTTGTTAATATTATTTTGATTTTTTTTGTTAGTTTTTGTTTATTATAATTTTTTTTCTTTTTTGACTCTCATGATTGACATATTATATTTTGTTTGCTATTGATGTTTTCGTTATCGAAATTAATATTAAAAATTTTTTTGATAATATTTGCAATTTGATACTTTTAGCTAGTTGGTACAACGAGTATGCTTATAAACATTTTGAAAAACTTAATAAAACATGCAAATTGGGTAAATACCGCTCAAACAAAAACAGCCCTAAAAAAATTTCCAGCACTAGAAAAAAAATCATGAAATTGATATTTAATTTGTTATAAGTCAATTTGATATTGATGTGGCTTATAACAAAAGGTCGAAATCACAATATTATCATATTGCTACATCAACAATTTAAAATAAATTTATGCATAAATTTAAAATAAAATATGAATCAGCTTAGGTAACAAATTTAATTAAAATATTATTTTTAACTGGGTATAGCTTAACTTAAAGTCAGGAAAAATGAGTTTATTTTTTTGGACAGTATTATTTTTGCTTAAGTAATACCTAAATATGTACCTTTCTTAAATTAAGATAGGTAAGTGAATGTGGTCTTCGACTACTCGACAGGCAAAGAATTAGAATAATTTGTTGGCAATAATCGTTCATAAAATAACATATCGGTTGGTAAGTCCATATGATAACCAAAAATACAAAATTTTTTTTGGCCAAATTCGACTTTATCCACTAAAATAGTTTTGTCCAAGAGTAATACAATCATTCCAACCCTTTTCTAACATTTCAATAATTGAATTGAAGAAAGATTTATCTTTGACCTAAAAATATGGTTTATTTTCGGTGATGACTTTCTCAACGAAACCAATTCTTTTCTTCTGGAACATTTTAATTCGTAAAATTTTGCCATATGGCTTGTGTAAAAATTTTGCCATAGTGATCAATGACTTGTGACACTAAGCATTCTCTTGGATCTTTTTTCTACTTCATATGGAACAGCTTTTCGCAATTTCTTGACCCAAATGTAGAGATCAGAATTGAAGGTGTGGCCTTTTTAAGGTAAATGATGAATAAAATTTTACTCGGATTCCAAACTATGGGTGACGCCAAAACCATGCCAACTGTTTGTTGCACTTTTGGCTGCTTTATGTGAGGTTGGACACAGTTCATAGCTGATTGGGGAACCATGCAAGAAGATGAAATCATTTCGGGCATAGTACCTACTCTGTATCTAATTGGGAAGGTTTTAGGAATATTTTTGATTATACTTTCATTGGTTTACTAGCACATTAATTGTTGTTTATAGTTATATATTGTATGTGATGGAATCGGATATATTAAAATTGTAGTCAATGTGGATTACTGATCCTTTTTGCTTGCGGAAGTCACTATTAAAATTATAGTAAATTATTTTATTTAAGTGGAAACTTATTTTAAAAATAAAAATTTGTTTTATTTCTGATTTTGTTTGGGCTATGAGGTTATCCAAATTGGAGGATAGTAAGCAAAACGTATAAGCGAATGAAACATTAGCCATAAATATGATACGGGTTCACCAGAAAATGGATAAGACATATTCCCACCATGTGATTTGAATTAGCGAATCAGTCGTCGATCTGGATAACTATTCACATAGTGCATATTTTGCGTTCTCTTTTTCAGTCCGAATTACGAGGTAATCCAAATCAATATTGAACAAGCCATACGGGTTATACGATATGGGTTTACTAGAATATCGACTAAACTTATTTCCAACACATGATTTAAAGTAGTAAATTATATCCGGATTCGATCAATACCCTTGTCGAAATATTGTCGAAATATGTAACAATCAATGATTAGTATTAAATGTCGTGTGCTTTCTAAACATATCATTCGTATAAGTTAAATCAATTGGCGTAATTGATTGAAATTAAAATAAATTATTAAGATTTATGTGTCATTGATTTATTTTTTAAAATATAATAATACTTATTTGTTTTCTTATTTTGAATTGTATAAAAGAAAATCAACTATTAAATATATCTACGACATTATATATATAATGGATAATTTCAATGTAGAATGTATTAACATCTGTCTCAGTTGTACGGAGAAAAACTTAATTGGATTGTTAAGTATTATTTATAATGCTTTTGCCCAGGTAGTCTTTTTCATTCTCAAGTCCAAAATGATGCCAGTTCTTGTATTTTTCTTCATCTCTTGCATAATTACTTTTGTAAGTAAACAATTTTTATTACTTTTGATTTGATTATAAGCCAAAAACTAATAATATTTTCAAAATAAAGTTTTGCAAGGAGTATGTGCCACAAACTGTAGAAACACCACGAGTGAGTATCTTTGAACTATTGTCCGAGTTTTCACCTTCCGATCCAACATGCTTAGAGCTCTATTTAACTTTGTTTCCTACAAAGTTTCCTGAGATACCTGGCGAGAATGAGGTTAGATCGGAATATATAACTAAATCAGGGAAATTAACAAAAAAACGTTAAATTTTGCATTATTGAAGATTATTTAGAATTATATTTTATATAGATTTAACTAAGATTTTATTTATTATAAGAGATTTTAATAATAAATATTTTTGTTGTTTGTTATTTAATTCTTTTTGGTGTCTTACTATGTCATGCCTAAATAAGCGGTGGTCTATTTGTTTTAAGAAGTGGTGAATATATATATGGATATATGTAGAATAAATGCCTACATATATGATAGGGATATAATTAAATCTGTCTATGATATCGATATCATATATCATGATATATGATATATACATATATGAATATATGATATAGTATATAAATATAAATATACGATAGAGATAAAGTATTTTTATATTAAAAATAATCAACGAATTATTCAAATGTTCTAAAAATCTAAGAAAGATATCATGGCTGAAAAATTTTTGTCAGTGGTGCAATAAAAGTCCATGATGACTTTTTCAAGAGACGTTCGAAGTGGATAAGGCATCTAGAAGAAGAAGAATTCTTGTAAAAATAATAAACAAAGTTTCAAAAAATCAACTTTGCCCTACCATAACTTATTAATTTATTAAAGCAGAATAAGATAGAAAGTTTTAATCTTAATTAACTTAAAATAGTTATAAAAATCAAACAATTTGAATAACCTCTTTACGAAACAGATATTCTTTTGACTAAACTTTTTTTATCAGAAAGAGTTTTTTGACGCTATGTTCCCTTGAACACTAAAAATTAACTCTCTTTTCTTATAATTTTTATATGTATTTAAACACGGAATCATATTAAAAAAATAATGGGATGTTACTTAAAATTGATCTGTGCCGTAACTAAAGAAAATTATGGCATAAACCCTTTGAGTTTTTGATAGTAAGTACTAGATATTAATTTTGATTATTTTAATAATAATTTTATATGATTATAATTGCTTCTCTGGTGTTAAATTCTTGTTTTTACAAAACACATAACAATTAAAGTAGCAATTTTTTATGTGAACATTGCCTTTTTATAAAATTAAGGTTCAGTTTTCCTGAAGATGACTCCCGAAAATTGTCGAAATATCGGAAAAATATTTTATTAATATATAAATTGTTTTTAAATATAAATAATTTAAGGTAAATTTTTTCTTGCCGATAATGGCGTGTCTTTTTATGACGAATGAAACAATTTAAAAGTTAGACCGATTCGAATAGCAAAGAAAGGCAAAGACAAAAATTTTTTTTATTTAATTTATTGAAATTTGGCTGACCATACAACGCTGTTTCGAGTATTGCCAAGTACTCTTCATCAGTGGTCTTTCACACGCCATTATCGGCAAGAAAAAATTTACCTTAAAAATTAGAATTATAGGAAATATGAACAATAATATTGTTCAGCTTTTCCTTAACGCGATTAGCGAACTTGTAGAGAAACATTTGCATAGCTTCTTTGCAAAATTGCACCCAAAAAAGGCGCTTTACATATAGTAAGTTAAAAAAATATGCATAACAGATGTCTCTACAAAAAGAATAGCTTTGAAACAAAAATAGGCAAGCTCAAAGATTAACTTTCAATTCGTTGAAACTTGTGTTTCCAAATAAAGCTGTAGTTTATAAGCTCGTTCTAATTTAAAGCACGGCAAGTGCTTTGGTTGGTGTTACTAATTAAAATAAAAATAAGTGACAATAAAACCTGGAACTTGAGCATTGAAAGTTTGTGCAGCCTTGGCTTCTTGTGGATAAACACGATTAGTCATCGCTTCTAATTTGACAGGCACGAGTTCTAAGCCTGGCACTTGCAATCCAATCAAATTATATACGGACTATAAACTAATTAAATAAAAATTCGATTATTTCCAAAGACCACTGATGAAGTGTACTTGGTTATACTCGAAACAGCGTTGTATGGTCAACCAAATTTCAATAAATTAAATAAAAAAAATTTTTGTCTTTGCCTTTCTTTGCTATTCGAATCGGTCTAATAAATAATTTAATTTATTTATTTTTCATTTCTATTTAAATGACCAATTAACTCGCTAATAAATTATAATTTTAAATTAAGTCCAATATATAGTAGAAATTTAATTGATTATGTTGCATTTAAGATATACCAATTTGAGTAATTACTTAATATTGTGCGACTTCTTTTCCTGTTAATAAAATTTAGAGTTAATGTATTTACTCTGTTAATAAAACAATATTAAGGCACACTAAAAAAACAAAAATTATTTATATACAAACCAACTGGACCGCAGTTTAGTATTTTTTATAAAAATAAAAATAAACCTAAACGTTTCCTCCTACCGAAGCAAAAAAGTAACTCATACGTACGGAGTGCCAAAGCAAGCTCATATTTTGCAAAGCATTGAACAAAATCATATTTATTTGTTGTTATTTTTGAGTAGAAATAAATGACTTGAATCCAAATACTTACTCTAAAAATAAATTGACAGCGCACTTGTAAGTAACTTTGCAGACTTCGAGGACAAAAAACGGTAGAACTAAGTAACAAATGCAAATGACAAATGACAAATACAGAAAAAATAAATCGAAGTGGGATTTAAGTCAAATCAAAGTAGTCAATTGATAACTAAAAGAATTGCAGAAAGTGTAGAATTTGTAACCTATATAGAGAAAGCAAAAAAAAGAAAAGAGAATTGAAAGAAAAAAGTTTAAAGCAAATAAACGAAGATAACTTAAGTTAGAAATGCATAATTTAGAAGAAACCTACGCTATTCTAGCTTCTGGCGCAAGGACCTTCAAATGAACGAAATTGAAAAATTATACAATTGCAAAGGACAAATTGAGATTTGCTTGAAACAAGCGCAAAATCAAAGAAAGCATTTTATATAATAAGAATAATAAAGATAAAAAAACAACAACAAAGCAGGAAACGCAAATGAAAATTGTAGCAAAAGTTAAATTTGCAGTTTTAGTAGACAAAGCGTTGCTGTCAAAATGACAGCGGAGCGTCAGGTGAGGATAACTCGTCTCTGCTGTTACTCAAGTAATTTTTTATTATTTTAATTTTCTTTTTTTTTTGCTTACCTCTCTTGAAAAAAAAGTTAAGGAAATTGTTTTAAGGACTTTATGACAGGGATTTATGATACTTTTTGGCAATTTTATGAAATTTTTCGGAATAATTTTTGACACCTTAATTGTGTGTGTACGAAAGACTTAAGACGGAAGACAAGCGATGCGCTGATTTTGTCGCATCATAGTAGAATATTTTAAAATATCTGCGACAACAACGTAATTTAAGGTACCAACTCATAAAATATTAAATTAAAATTCATAATGTAGATTTTATTTGAGTTTTTAGCATATTAAGATACCAAGGATGAAGGATAAGCAAGTATGCATATTTACAGGTAGGGAACGTCAACTGGCAAGTTGAAGATAAAGAAGGAGAGTGAAAGTCTTTCTTCTTACAATCGCTCTCCTGTTTTAATTTAAATATAAGAAAGTAATTTAATTACAAGTTTGAAAGACTTAAAGTGGCAAAGGCGCGAAACCAAGGCGATGAGTGGTAGAATATTCAAAATTTTTATTTGTTTCTATTTTAAGGAATTCTTTTTATTCCTGTTGTACATAAAGATTTTTATATTATTTTAATTGTTCTTAACTAAAACACTTTCTTAATATGAATGGTGTATAGTATATGGTGTAAAACAAATCTTATCTTAATCTATTTAAGATCAGTGGGAATTCAATAATTAAAATTATTGAAATAAAGTATAAAGAAATGAAAAGATTTATATATCCATATAAGTATGTATAATGGAGGATGCTGCACACAAACTTAAAACTTTGAAATTTTCAAAATATTGTATTGAGACGTATGCTAAAAGCTCCATGGTGTATCAGAGGTAAAGATATGTACAAGGATTTGAGAGTTGAAAGTGTGCAAAAAACATCAAAGACAGATTGTTGAAACTGCTTGATTCTGTGGATGTTCACACTAATTTAGAACCCTACAGTGTTAAAATAAATGCAACATATATATAAACAGTTCGCAAGGTTACTATTTGAGAGTGGTATGAGGTTGACAATTTAGTTGAAGAAGTAAGCATTAGGATAGTAGTCAGAATAGAGTAAGCAGTTCGGTTCAGTTGCGGTTAGTTGTGAAAGTTTGTCAATTATATTATCAATTATCTCACCAATTATTTTATAAATTATATTATCATTTAACTTACCGATTCTTTTACCAATAATCTTAACAATTATATTTACAATTATCTTACATACATTGCCCAGCCTTTATCTGGAACAGGAGAAGGTCACTGTGTCGAGAACTACTCTCCTCTTCTGATATTAGGAGGTACTCAACGGCTGACATTCTGTTGCAGCACAAAAGATCAAACATGGTCGCAGTGCTCCGCTCTATTGGTAGCTGGTACCCTGTTTATTTCTAAATCTAACCTAAAAAATCTTACATTCCTTTAGACAAAAAGCTTCAAACTATACTTTTATATAGTCACCTTAATAATGCATTTAATACATATAAGTTCACAGTCATTATAGACTGAAGATGCTTAAGCGCTAATTCGCATTTATTCACAGAGAGAAAAAAACGACGTTTAAAAAAGAGAAGGTTTAGTCTTCTTATAATATTTGATATTTTTTATTATTATTAAATACAATTTTAATATTAAATATTTAAATACATTTATTCAAAGGAAATTTAAATTTATCCGCAAAGTGATTTTTACTAAAATAATTAAATATCTTAAAAATTGAACTGAGCAACATATATTATATATATGCCCTGTATTAAGATACAGAAATCTTATAAATTATGAACTAAGCCTAAAAAAGTTTGTTTAAATTTAAGACTACATTTAAAAGAAAATTTTTATTTAGAAACTATTTCAAATATTATCCAGAAGATCTCTTTCTATTTGAGTGCAATTAATAATATATATAGTTACATACATAATATATTCCGCTTCATGTCAATATGCCACTCATATTTTGTACTAAATTCTTTTAGAAGTGATAAATAATATCCGATCGCTTTTCAGTGAGTTTGAACAAAAGCTGTAGTG